ACTATTATTGTGAAAAAGTTCATACTTTTCATTTTTTGACATTTTGACCCTTAATTACACATTTGATTGCGCAAACTATCATTTCTATACATTTTCATGTAGTTTCTCGATAAAAAGTTATGAAATGACAAATATACTCTCATATTTAAATATTAAAAAAAGAAAAATAATGAACTAATTGCAACCATAATCCCAACATGTTTTAAAATGTGCAAATGAGTCACAAATAACTTATTAAAAAATTAGAAATTATTTTAAAAAAAAAAAGCAAACAAGTCCCAAATAAATTATTAAAAAATTTAAATTTAAAAAAAATTAAATAGTACAAACGAATCCTAAATAAATTATTAAAAATATTAGAAAAAAATTATTTTATTTTATTTTATTTTTTATATATAAATAAGATTATATATTCATCATTCTACAATTTTTGTTAAGAAATTACATAAAATTTGATAGAAATTACTATTTGCGCAATTGAAAGTGTAATTAAGGATAAAAATGCTAAAAAAAAATGAAAGATAGAGATGTTTTTCACATTAATAGTGAAATGTATGGACAATATGTGCTAATTACATTTTTAATAATTTATTAGGGACTCGTTTGCAATTTTTTAAAGAAAAATTGGGACTTTGATTGCAATTAATTCTTTCTTTTTTCTTTTTCTTTTATTTAAATACAGAATATATTCGTTATTTCACAGCTTTTTTAGTTGAGGAAATGAATAAAATGACCTTTTACTCAATAAAATGTAGAATAAATGTGAAAATACAAAAAAATTTAAAAGTAAGAACGTTTTCCACAATAATAATAAAAAACAAAGACGTTATTTGCTAATTACCCAATTCCCAAATCACCTCTTGATTTAAATGGTGGCAGTAAAAAAAAAAGAGGATACAATTGACCAAATGATTTTCAACCGCCTCTACCTTCATTTATGATGTTCTAAACAACTCTTCTGCACAAGATCATTTTTTAACATTTAGCCCTTGTTTGATTTTCATTATTTTCAAAATACTTTCTCTCTCTTATTTTCAATCATACATTTTTCAATAAAATAATATTATACGCAAACTCAAATTTTTTTTCTTATTTTTTAATCCAACATTCTCCATCAATCTACAATTCTAAAATACATTCTTAGAAAATAATTGTTAGAACAAAAAATTAAAAGTTTTAAATTTCAAATTAATATATTTTTTAATTTTCAGTTTTAGTTTTTAATTTTCAGATTTAATACAAAATTAAGAATCTTAATATTAAAATATAAGTTATATTTGAGTGGTTTAATGTGGGGGGTTGAAACTTTACTTATAATAGGAGAATTATTTAATTGTTGGAAATGAAATGTCCAGCCCATTTTGTTGACTCAACTTCCAACCACCAGCCTCCATTGTGTGTTGTATCCCTTGGCTAGCAAATTTTGTTGACAAAGCGGATGAAACAAATTAAATGGCAGAAACGGTTTGCAGCCAACAACAACCATTGTAGCAACCACATAATTAAATTGTTGAAAAATCTCATCCCACCTTGGCTATAAATAGAGCCCATTTTCTTCAAATTAGAAACACCACGGAAAGAAAGAAAGATAGAGTGATTAGAGAGAGTTTGAGAGGTTTTTATTTGAGTTTGTAATTCTCATGTACAATTCTATTCAAGTAAGAAATAGA